CATTTCAAAACTACCAGCTTACAGTTTTTTTTTTTTTTTTTTTTTTCATTGGTACCATAAAAGTTGCATTGTATGGCGTAAGTACGATATACACTGAAATGTGCAGGAAAAACGAGGCGATGACGAGTCGTAGGAGGCGGAGGGAAAGGGGAGAGTTATATTACAGTGGCATTGTGACATCACCTCTCGTTGTACCAGAGTAGGTGCACCGACGAGAGCACTGCACTTTTTCTTCGATCTATATATCTAGCCTGTGTCTTGGATATACTCAATATTTTATTGGACCAATGGATAATTATATACCCACTGTAGCGAGACGCGTCCGAAATACCGCAACAGCGTAGAACCAATAACAATTGACTCCAAAAGGCGTGTCGGACTCATTCTTCTTGCGATTTCTCAAAGTCGAATTGTTTTTTGCTAACAATTATTAACGCCAATCAACACTCGCTATCAAATAAATTAAAGTACACTTATAGATTCAAATCGTGTTATTATTTATTGTTATGTCTCATTTGTAGATTATAATTAATATTTTAGAAATTAAGCATCAATATATTGCAACTCGATTATTCAACTTAGTAAGAATACTCGCGTTAGGTTTTTCACTATAAAAGTACACTATTTTGCTCCATCAGAGCCCACGACGAGACCTTAATTTCCAACAAGTGTTGGCTCGCGTTTTTATCCGTCAACCCCGTCTGAAATGTTGCAACGAACAATTTCCCAAAGTCTCGTTTGATTCCATTCACAATTGTTCCCTGCTGGATTCCACCGTATAACACATGTGTAACACCCATTGGCTATATTATTATTAATTCTCGGAAAGTACGGGGTGCAACCGCGTGTCGCTGAAAAATATAAAGGAAAAAAAAATCTCTGCATAAGTAGATATACCACGTGTATGGCATTCCGAGAACAAGCACCCAAGCATAATATAACTTACACCGCGATCCCCGAGTATATTATACCTTTGTACATTGTAACACATAACGAAGACGTAACTGTTATATTCTTTTGCTATGTGCTCTTTGGATTCCCTGTAGCCGAACCCACCGAGTCTTTTGTTCTATATGTTTCTGTCGCTTTCACCCACAAAGTCCCACACCAACTTCTCAAAGAATGAAATCTCGGTCGCGGAAGGCGCTGGTGTGTTATAATGTACATCGCCCCGATATAAATTTCTCGCACGCGCCTCTCCTCGAATGAAACTTATAGAAAAAAAAAAAAAAATGGTACATGATATTGTTCACTCCATCCGCGGTTTTTCATGCTTTCGCGCGCCAGCCTGGATCAATTCGTTCCACTGCTCTTTCGAGCTCGCGTGATGATGTATAGTAATGATATGGTGTGTATGTGTGGCTAAGGTTTATAATTGGGTTATTGTACTTATGGAAGTTTCCTTGGTCCGTGCTCGCCTGCCGCGATCACTCAATGTGAAGAAATACGTATAGACGTGCATTTGAATATTTTTGCTAACTTGTGAGATTATACAATTTTGCGTATAACTGTGTGTGGTACGTGAATATGATAAAATTATTCATTGGTACTGGGATGAAAGATTGAAATATATAGAAAGTGTAAAATTTAACTGCTTTTTATTTGTTTAAAAAATTATTTTTTTTACGCAGTAAACTAAATTAACGGTAATGCTTGATTACGATTTAAAAATAATTTTATCTTTAAAAATATGTTACAAGTAGATTTCGAAGAACAATGACAAAATACGAGTTTTTTGAAGACAAAAATAGATGTATAAGTATATGAACCTTAAAAAGGCAGAATATCAAAATTCGATATTTGCGTCGCTATGAAAAGAATGAATGTAAAATTTTCAGCTAAATATTATTAAGTTGAAAAGTGTAAATTCTGGAACGTGAATTATCATATTTATCAGACAGAGTACGACTAAAAGTTTTAATATTACTTGAAATTGTGGAGTAAGCAAGCAGGGCTCATGAATCATTACTAAAAAACAAAATACCCTACAAATTTTAAGTAAATACATAAATATTCAAACTGATTCACGTAAAAAACAAAAATGTAACTTTCATTTATAAATAGAATCAATGTTTTTAAAATATGATCGAACATATTATTTGATGTATTAAGTATGTAGTAAAAATTTAAATAAATTATTCGTCTTATTCGAGTTATGATTTTTTACCCGAACGCAAAGACTTAAAATGTTAAATAAAGCTACTTACAGATTTTCTGCTAGACGCAATTGTTTCGAAAATCAAATTGAAGTTTTTCTCTCGACAAAAGCAGCAAAAAACTTTACTTATTTGTAATCAAACAATTGTTGTTGCAACCTCACGGCTTCAATATACGGAAACCCGGGGCCAATAGAGAAAAAAGAAGAGTAATCGAGGAAAAAATTTACCAACCATACATTGTGCCAAAATGTCAACAAAAAAAAATGTATCATCGACCGATACGAAGATTCCTTCGGATTGCCTCTACGAAGAAGCAGTTGTGTTTATACTCAAAAAAATATTTCAAACTGCGAAACCTCGATTAGCTTGGCTGAGATGAGAAAAAAAATGTTTTTTGTATCTAAATCGTATTATAAAAGAGTTGTTTACTTCTTAATCGTCGAGGAAATTCGAATAATTAGCATGTAAATAAAGTATTTCTGCGAACGATACCCGCGTGGATTCAATGTCAAAAATAAATGCCAAAGGTAACCCGGAATAACACATTGCTCGATTAACGTTTCGCGCTGTAAAAAATCAAGACACGATGGTATATACAAAACACTGGAATCCATATCACAAAGGCATAAGCATATATTTTGGACAACGAAATAAAAAACAGCGTATACACTTATGCATCGACGCGATTAGTTGTTGTGCTCCGAGTTGGTACACAAATGTAACATACGAGATGAGCTAGTTTGACGTAAAAGCTGGCACTTGCTGACATTCGCGCTAAACTCTATACCTGCACTCGAGATGTTCATCATCGTAACTAGAATCATCGGTTTTCTAGAGCGTTTTGGCAATGCTCCTGTGCTCTGGCGCCATTAAACAAAAAAAAAAAAAAAAAAAAAAAAAAAAAAAACACAACAACGTAATATATTAACGCCACTCCCAAAATAAAAAGTTTATTTCCGTCACCTTAGCGGTTCGAAAATAAGCCCACCGGAGTGTTGTTTCATTATTTATATACTCGCCGCAGGTATCTTCTGCGCGTTTAAATGAAACAACGAGACGAAGAGTTGAGTGGACTCTCCATAGAGGAGAGGGAGGTGATTTTAATTTTGCGCCGCGCGCGAGCATCGGATTTCCAAATAAAAATCCAAGCATGTGCGTATATACGTGATTTGGAGCTCAAGCAAAATAAAGTGGAAGATATACTAAATTCAGAAGTGTCTTTAAGGGAGTTAAAAAAAATAAATGCACAAAAAAAGGTATCATTGAGTTGAAAAATCTACAAATTTCTCTTTACAGTAAAATGATAACGAAAAATACCGTAACTGTCTGTTACAGTCCATTGTTCTGTTACATCCAAACCAAAGAGTTACAAGTTTGACATAAGTGCAAAAAATTAATAAAAAAAACGACGCCTCTTGACCATTATTTGGAGGCAGATGGAAACTTATATCAGCTGTGTCGAGCGCGATGTATGTTGTTCGTGCGTAAACGGTTTAACATTTAGAATATACCTATTTAAAAAAAGTTGCAACAATATCAATCATCTCGTAAAAGCCATTAGTTTATTTATGTTGATTTATAATGATAAAAATTCATGGTTTTAAAAAAAGTATCTCTTTTACGTTAATGGATAAATGACAGTGGCTTGACCGTTTTTGGACAGAATATTTTGGTATTTTTCATGGCTACTGATATTTTTTCATGTGTAACGTCTAAAAGCTCGTGTATTTTGATCTACTCATATAATCACATAACAACCACTTTTTTGATGTATGACTAGTAAATGACAAGTTTCCAAAATTACATATCTGCGTTTATGTAAAACATCCCAACTTTAAGATGGAATATCTCAGAATTTTGCACAGCTGGGGGTGCAAACAAAGATTTCATTGGAGTCAGTCAGTGTTTCAAACGATCGAAAAGGTTACAGTTGATCTTTTAAATTTCAAATGAGGGATGAGGGAATGACTCAATATACCTTTTTTAAGTACTGGTTTTGACAAAACTCATGAGTACAGAGTTAGTTGTCACATTTTAACCCATCGAGTGATAGAATTCGCTGTCTTTTCTTGCACGAGATGTAACAAAAAGTGCAATCAACAACGAGTAATTTCTAGCCCCTGCACCGAGAGAAAGCTAGTGTGCTGTAGCATAGAATTAATCTCACCTTTCCTTGAAAAAATAAAAACGTCTTTGAAAAAACAGTTGCTCCGATGTAAAAAGTGGCTTCTGCGATGCGGGCAAAAAAAGAAAAGAAATGTAAATGATACCGTTATTTTTTCGAGGGCAAAATCAACATAATCCGTCAACGCCATCAATTGAGACTAAAAAATAATAAATAAATTGGCCCTCTCACGCGCGCTCTCTGCGAGTAAACCGACTCGCTTGTAGTGCAAAAAAGCACTTGGCACGAGCTCGAGCTTCAAGCCCATTCATACACGATCCATCAAGGCGACTGCTCTAATCGGCGGCTTACCTCTTCTCTCTGAGGTTAACGTCCCTATTTTTGAAACAATTCAACCTACTTGCCCAATAAAGGCACACCGAACAGTCGAACGCTCTGTAATGGCGCTACAGTCTCGAAACTCGTTCAATAAAATCACCAATAGCCATTGACGATCCAAATAGGGTGTCAATGGCTTTGGGTATACACACGTGCTTGCGAAACAAAGTCCCGCATAAATTTCGCGCTGTTTATACTCATACACGTACACAACATATCTTTCGATGCTTTGATTGTAACATGTATGCTTTAGAACCACTTACACAGCAATACGCAACAAAAACAATGAACCAACACAAAACTAACGAAAGCCCAATTTTTGTTTTTTTCTGTTGCAGGTGCAACTGTGTCAATGATGTCCCGAATCGCAATAACGGACCAACGCGTACCTAAAGTGATAAACGCAACAAGTACAACTTCCAGTTACAAAGTGCTTCTATAAACGCGCGTGCTTTCAAAACACAACGTAGTACAAACAAAAAAAATGATCCGACGATCATTAACGATATCCACGTAGAAATTAATCGCCCCCGACAATACAGCGCCAGCGGACCCCACTAGTTAGGTACCTGAAAAAACAAATTCCAAAACATATCAAACGAGAAACCGGAAACAGCGGAGCGACGTGTGCCCGCACGATGACATTTAAGCATCCCAGGTCTCGCCGGGTCATTGTCGCAGCAACAGCCGAACAGCAGCACCACTTGGGGGACAGCGAGGCAGCTTTTGTTGGTTTTGGGCGTCAGCGCAGTCGGCAGCAGGTACCGAATCATCGCGACCACCATCACTCTAGTCGTCTCGTGGGATCGACCAACGGTTCGCGGCCGGTAGGAACGAGGCACTCGCTGGCCTAAAGAGCTATGCCCTGCGCTCCGGAGCCGCTTCAGCCCCATCATCTTCACCACCATCACCAGCTGCAGTCGTCGCCGAGTCTCGGCAGCCACAGCTCGTCGTCGATCCACCACCATCACCGCCACCACCACCACCACCAGCACCTCGCCACGACGACGAGCAGACGCCCCAACGGTCTCTTCTCGCCGACGAGCAGCGAAGCGAGCAACCACACTACCAACCAACAGCCTGGCTCGCTGTCCTCCTCGTCCTCGTCCTCGTCGATATCGTCAGCCAGCACAGCCGCCAACTTGGCGTCCGACTTCCACGTGTTCGACCGCAGGACCGCGGAGCTGAGCGCCCGGGCGGTTGACTACCTCCTTAATTGTCACACGGCAGAGCTGAGGCTGCAGCAGCAGGAGCCGACGGAGGAGAGACCAGCGGTGGCGGCTGCTCGCTCCCCAACATCGGTGGCCACAGCCGTCTCGGCTAGGATGGCCGCGACTGCCAAGCACGAACTGCGCCGCAGCAGCCAGCCATCCGCGCCCAGCTCACCGGGGGACGAGGACATAGCCGCCATAGCCAAGCAAATAAGCGACCACGCCGAGGCCATCTATCAAACCTGGAAGAGCCGGGGTCTCGCGCCCACGGAGATACTCAGTTGCCACAGCAACGCCGCGGCCGTCGACAAGTTTGGCACTGTGCTCACGCCCACCTCGGGCCCGGTCGCTTCTTCCCCCGGTGGTCCTGCGACCAACTCCGCGACCATAGCCAAGAAGCCGCTGTCCGTGGTTACTAGCCCGGTGGAGCTGCTTGCCCAGGACAATAACAACCTCGAAAAGCTGGTCAACAACTTTGTGGTGGAGGACAAGGCGCGAGTGGCAGCCACGAGACAACGCTCTCCCTCCAAGAGCTTGCCCTCGTCCATCCAGTTTGCCCTTCAGAAGTTCGAGCAGAGCTCCGCTGGAGCACCGGGCGCCCTGACGCCCACGACGCCCAAGACCCCGACGACCAGCTCTCTGCAGCAGCTGATCAAGCAGCAGCCCACGAGCTTCGCTAGCCGGCCGTCCCAGTTAAAGACAACCGGTGGCCAAGTCAAGTCACCCCAGCACCATAGCGAGATCTTCCTCGAGACCATAGAGACCTTCCCGAACGATGTGACGCCCTCGAAGGTGGCGGCTGTCCAGCAGAAGGTCGCCCGACCGCTGGTCTCGCCCACGGCCAACGGCACCGTGGGCTCCTCGTGGCCCCTCAAGAACAAAATCGTCAAACCGGCCTCGCCGCAGTCCGTCCAGGTCGTCAAGAGCCCGGGGGCCAACGAGGCCAGGCAACCCGAGAACTTGACCAACTATCTGGACGAGGTGGCGCGCGAGGAGGAGAGGCTGATCAACGCCCTGAAGACCGGCGCGGTGATCACCGAAGAGCCCCAGCCGACGGCGCCGAAACAAAAGCCCGCGATCGTCCGCGAGAAACCCAAGGTCGAGCCTGTCAAGCCGATCCTGATATCGCCGAGCCAGCTGGGCGCCCACCACCTGAACTCGGCCGCGGTCGCCGTTTCGGCCCACATGGTCAGCTCGCCGAGCAACGAGGTCAAAACCCTGACCAAGGACGAGCTGTCTGCCTTATCGGCGGTCGATTACGCCAAGATGCGCTACAGAGTTGTAGGAGCTCAGCAGCAGCAGGAGTCGCCGGTTCAGGGGGAGCCGAAGGCGCCGAACGTGGGTCCCTTGAGCGGCGAGGCCATCGTGTCGAGCGCGAGGTCCAAGTTCGAGTCCGCGTCCGGCCCCAAAGTGGACGCCAAGCCGGCGATCGCCAAGGACAGTGGTGGCAAGGACGCGGGCAAGGACGAGAAGGACTTCATAGCCTCGAGGTGGGGTTTGAGGCTGAACTCGTCGAGGCAGCGGCCGGTCGAGCCGGTGCCCCATCCGGAGCTCACGACCCAGCAGAAGCAGCACATCAGGGCGGCCGCGGCCACCAACACGGGCAACAATCCAGTGCGGCCGTTCCTAACTCGAGGCTCGGTTGCCGAGAGGGTTCTCATCTTCGAAAAGTGTCCTAGTGAGTTGTTGCTGGACAAGAGGGGCCCTAGGCAGCCGACGGTCGGTAACTGGAGGACGGCCCAGGACGCGCAGAACAACAAGGCACAGGTGAGTGACACTCGTGTGTTACCGGTTTTTTTGTCGTTGAAGATGAACATTTGCGAGGTGAATTTGACATAATAAGCGTCACTAGTAACAAAACAGATTACAATTAGCCGCAGCATAGCATATACGGATCCCGAGTCGCCAAAGCCAAACATGTGGCCTCGCGAGTATGGGAAGGTTATGTAGGTTAGTTGAGAGGTAAAAAAAAAAGTAACTCGCATTCGCTTGGAGCGTAAGGGGAAACTCTTTGTGCGTGGTGAATTACCCCGAAAGGAGTATATATAACTCTCCTCATTCTCCGCGCGTACATGGGAGATGTATAAAAAAAAAAGACCTCGGGCGTTGCGAAATCGTTTGATTTTCTTTTTTAATTGTCCCTCCCCGCCCCCTCTGTTAGTCTAGCGTAATTTCTGCGGCAAAAAATCTCTCCTCCGAACGTGCGTATACCGTGTACACGAGGGCTCCAAGTGTAATTGCGTTCCGCGAAGGTTGCATTTATGAGCTGTAAATCTCGGTAAGCACTCAATTTTTCACATTGGTTCGTTTAACGGCCGAAAGAAAGCTCGCGGATGAAATTAATGTCCAAAGAATAAACAGTTTTGAATACCGTTTGATTTGCAACTACAAAAAAAAAAAAAAAAGAGCCAAAATCGCTTCCACAAACCCTCGTCACGGCTTACCGATTTTATTGTCGATTTCTAGCCGTAAAACCCGATAAGTATTATACTTGTGCCATTGGAAAGCTTCAATCACGTAGTGCGTTCCATCAGCAGAATCGGTGGGCCCCTTATACCCATTGACATTCACCAAAAAGGCCCGTCATACTTTTTTACCCCACACGCAATATCGCTCCATCATCGTCCTCCATCCTGCACGATTTCACCTTCCGAAAAATCTTTCATCGAGGACTCGTTGATCTGTTTCTGCATCCCACGTTAATATATACACACACACACGTAGCGATGGCGTTGGCGATCAGCTGCTCGTTTTCACGATCGGCGACCTTGCGAGCCGCCATCAGCGGCAGAGGAGGAGAGCTGCGCCAGGACTCCCAAGGAGCTGCCGCTGCCGTGTGGATATACTTACTTTCTCTTTCCACGTCGCGCGCGAGCGTTGAACTCTGATGTATATACGTATGTATCCCGTGCGCGCGCTGTGATTTTTGCCTCGGCAGAGCCGGTGTACACGCTTGGCTCTCGATCCGCGGGAAGAGGATCATGTTATAGTTATACATCACTGCGCCTCGAGTCCGTACAACCTTAGCTGCAGTTCGTCGGCCCTTTGTAAGTGTATTTTCGTATACCGATATCCGCGTATGCGGTGTATACACGCAACATACTTGATTGAGTCGGTAAATCGGTACGGGCTGCCAAAGCACTGCACGCACTTTCCGTATATGCATCAGCCGTACTTTGCCAACACTTTTGTCTTCGTGTCGCCAAAGGTTCATATTTACCCCTCCTTAATTCCCCGCTAAGCGATATTCATATCCTTCAAATTATTTCCGCTGAGAGCCGCACATGTCTTTTTTTACGATGCCCTCGTTTTTTCATCTTAACGATCTGCATCTTGGCGTTCGACGATCTTTATCAATCTCCATCACGTACACACACACGGAGGCGGCGCTTAATTTGAAACAGTTTACTCGCAAACGCAGTCATCCTAATTAGGTACCGCTGACAACAAGGAGAGAGAGAGAGAGAGAGAGAGAGAGAGGGAGAGAGTCAAAACACACGCTTACATTTACGATCGCGCATTATCGATGGTATATATCCCATTACTGTTACTCGAATCGGTAATACTGCGGTCCAATAAACACCGTATTAGAAATAGCTGTTATGGGATCAGCTGTTGCCCTTTCACGATCTCCAATCGTAGCTCTCTTAATTGGCCTCTTGGGTGGCCGGTTCGACTTCTCGTACGTAATATATTTCTATGCATAGCACGCACGCCCGTGCCAAAAATACACCTATGGGTTGAACGATCGATTGCGCTCTCTCTCTACCGTCTCTTTGCTGGGCGATCGGAAAAAAAATTCAGGCACCTCCCATGTGTACATACATAATATGATCGGTATGTGGGTACGTGTAGGTATATATTATATATATAAGCGTATACATCTGACTGTCCTCTCCTCCACCTTCTCCTTCTGGTGTGCATGCGCTATAATATACGCGTGTATTTGTTTGCTGGTTACGCAAGGCGTGCCGATCGCGGAACAATGCCGAACGAGGCTTGGTCCTATGCGGTTTATTGTCGCTTGACGACACTAGCACGCGCAACACTCTTTTCTCTCTTTTTTTTTTTTTTTTGACCACCGCCTCGATCGTTATATATGTGTGCCGCTTCTCTTGTTTTGTAGGCTCCGCGAGTCCGCGCTCGTACACGAGCCAAAGGCTTTTTGTTACACATACGTGCAAAGGTGTACACGGGTATAACTAAGCTCATAGATATATACATATGATTTGGGTGTGGGATGTGGTTGCGGTAAATGGGATGTACCATAATAGGTATACATAGAAGTAAATACCGATTTTTCGCTTAGTTCCCGGAAATCGGCCGATCAATTATGTGCGTTCTATGCATAGATGTATAAATATATTATGTGGTGAGCTTTTTTGGGGATCGTTAGACAACTATTAAATTGCCGTACTCTACGATAATGTTTACGTGAAACTCAAGGTTTTTTTTTTTTTTTTTTTTTCGTCAGTTTCGTTTGCTCAGTATGTAAATATATCCCTATGTGTATACGCATGTTATACATAGAATCTGACATGTATGACGACTGAGAGCGTTTTGTCTGATAGTCGCGTCAAGAGTCACGCGTATGTACTTATAAATAAACACATGGAGTGACAGCTAGGGCCCGTTGGTAATGTCCGGCAAAACTGACGCGCTGTACATATCAGTGATACATGTGAAGATCTGTGATTTGGCACCAACTCGTTTCGTGCTTTCGGGCCATAGGCTATAGAATTCAACCAGAGCTAGCGAGAACGAAACTAATGCTACACACAATTCTTTTTCCTTTTTCTGTGAAACTCCAAGCTTTCGTAGAATAACCACCAAGTATGGGTTTCAGTGAAAAGATGATGAACCTATTTGGCACGTGGATGGTTTTTTATACCCATGTATTACTGGCATGAAATATTGTCATTACACGAATCTCGTGATCGATTAGAAAGTGATTAAGACTTTCTTTTTTTCTTTACTACCACTTTTATTTGTCTCTGTTTTTACAAAATTCTTTTTAAGGCTTGTACTCCCTAATAATGGAGATTACGTTACACAAACTAAATGCTACTTTGTGCTTATTCCTTTGACGTTTGGTTATCGTTTTCACACGATGGACCAGTGGAATCGATCGATCACGTGTTTTTCGCACCCATTTTTATTGTGGATCGTGGCCAATGTTTCTTATTTCTCCAAGTATTTAACAACCACCAAAAATTGGAAATATTCCAAACTAAATTGGTATTTGTATACACCCTTATGTACAAAGACTGACGATATATTCAATGTGAAGTTCTTACTGAACACATTAAAAAGTACGTGTATGCATGGTATCCTCTTGACCATGGATCAATTAGTTCCCCATACGTGGATTGCCATGTCTAACAACGTAGTTACATGATAAACATTATGGATACTGGTTATTCCAGGATGTGTTGCACGACTCATGTAAATGATACGTATAGGTAGATGTCCCCTTTAGCTTCTTTTTGTTATGTACAGTTTTAAGTTTAGTGATAAATAATCTTAAAAAAAAGTCGATGCACAGAGGGTTTTGTAAATCTTAAAGGTATTACGGTTTTTTAAATTATTTACTTCGATGCATGACCTGTCCAAACATGAGTAAAATGACCAGTAAATTAGTTTCAGTTACAATATAATTGATACAGTCGGAGAACTGTAGGGTCGTCTTGACTTTAATTCCACAATCTTTTCATTGATTATTGATTAGATATTTGTAGGAATCCTCGGAACTGTCATATTTTTTTTTGCTACTTTACTCTAAGTTACTTCTTTTTCTCCCCCCCAGATAGACGGATATGGTAAAGTGATAGCCTTACTACCTCTCATAATCTTCATGTTTTATGGACTTATAGTCAATAAAAAACAAATGTTTGAACAACCACAGCCAGAAAGGCCTATGAAGTGGAAAATGCTCGATGTATTGTATACTGTTGATTTAACAAAGACTATGGCATTGACAACATCCGAAATAATCGTCATTGAATGGGGGTTGCTAGCCTTTTCGACTCAGCAGTCATCATAAAGGCCTACCTTTCTTATTCTCTTTGTATAATAATGTCAAATTATGTCTTTTTCATAATATCGTGGCCTCTGCCACAGGTACAGCATTCAGGGGGACACGAGGAGCAAGTCGCAAAATAGTGTAACAACGACTGTGCCATGAAACTGAATTATTGCAAGTGAATCGGCTGGTTATGAACATTTTAAAATCCCAAAACAACAAACTATACGAGTCTTGTGCGGCCTTTTTTCTACCTACACTCTAATATATGCACGATTGATGCTTTTGTTTGATCATTGATTATTAATCATTGACAAACAACACTTGATCAAGTGTTAAAAAAAAAAAATACTTATCTATTACTTCCTGCGTACTGCAGCCTATAGAACCGCGTTTCCAAGCATCAATTACAAACGTCGATGATTATTGTCTCCAGCTGCGGCGGTAAATTAGGAAATTTTTTAATTTATCGATCGTACAGTGCCTGCCTATGCTTCATCATTCAAACAATGTCCTGGCAAACACGATTGCCATACAAACAACCTGTCGAGTTTGTGAAACTTCCGTTTAACAACGTGCGGTATCGTTTTGCAATGTGTGTCTTTTAAAAGACACGCGCACGCACCTATTGTCTATACCCGCCTTAGACTTTTAATTGAAAGACCACGTAATAATGTGCGCACAACGCGTGGGCTTTTGAAAACTTGGAAAGGATAATGATCTTGTCATCGAAAATACTTACCGT